TTCGCTGAAGTATTTGTTGATAATGTTGTGCGGATAGATAATGTAACCTCCATGATTAGGCCTTTCAGTATAACACTAAAACCGTTGCCTTCTGCTGATCGTCCGTATTACTTCACATCAATTCCAAAGTAAAGCTCTTGATAAACCAAATCACTCACCATTATCTAGGTAAGGAACTGAATGTCATCTGAGATTTGTCTCTGTAAGATATCTACTACCGACTACTTAGAATATGGACTAATCTCATTGAAATTGTCACTGTTGTCTGTGAACCAAAATAACGGCCTAATCTGTTTACAAAAGACAAGCTGGCAATAATGAAACTGATAATTGTTTGAAAAATACTTTTAACCTTATTTTCTCTTATAATAGTGGAAAAGTATCTATGAATTGACGCAAAATTTTTAAATACTTTGGAAATACTTTTACTATTAAGAACTCGCTTATTCTACGAATAATTTTAGGGTATTATTTCGTTAACTTAGACTTAATGTCTGAATTACTGTTCGTTCATTTCTGTCTTGCTTTAGAATCAGAGATGGATGGTGACACGCGTTTCATTCTATATGGGATTCGGCAACTGGATCTACCTAAATCCTAGATTTGATATTTACTTCAACAGTCAAACCTTGTGCCCTTCACTTAAAATGCTATGGAGTAGTCCACATAGCTACTGAGTCCAAATCTCTGCTTCAAATGCTTGTTACTTACTAGTAATATCGATACAATATGCTCTAGAATCAAAAGAGATTGATCAGTCGCGGTCCTATATGAATTAAAATCTGTCTTACTGTTCATCTTTTAATGAAAGTTACTTTTTTTTCAATTGTATCACCGACCAACAGAAGAATATTCGTCTGTTTTTCTTACCATAAATCGACACTACTCTAAACTGTTTGCTTCTAAATAAGTTTAAATTTTGAATCAATGAAAGCTTTCACACAACGATTTAGCGTAATTAAGTAACTAAGTGATTGAATCCCTTCAATGTCAGTGCATTAATTAAAAATATTCTGTAAAAATTTAGCCTACTTGAAGACGTATTTCCTGGAGTTCGAGTGAGAAGCAGTGACCAGTAGAGTTCAACCAAGTCTGTTGTGAACGATGGTGCAATTCCGTGGATTAGTTGAAGTTAGATACTAACACCGTTGGATGCTGATCAGCTTAAAGGTCTAGAGGATAAGCGTTCGCGCGCGAAACCGTTAGGTCCAGGGTTTGAATCCCGCGAGCGGGATCGTGGATGCGCACTGTTGAGGAGTCCCATTCTAGGACAAAACGGCTGTTCGGTACTTTCAAGTTTTCCATGGTGGTCTAGTTTCAATTGACTGATGAATTCAACTAAAAAATTACTCAAAAATAGTAAAAATAAACTAATCGAATTTAAAACATGAATTTTCCGAAAAGTTTGTATATTTACTCATTGTTGTCTCACACGATCAAGGTTAGAAGGTGAGGAAATAAGAAAGCTATACGACGACACTATTGTCTCGCGCTATAATAAACTTAGTGAAGAATACTCAATAGAAACCTCAGAAAAGATGGATGGATTTAAGATTAATTCACTAGACGACCTAATGCATAATCTCTGATTCATCCACTGTAGTCTGATTGTCCAAACGGTATTATTTGAATTTACAACCGTGGTGTCTTAAAGCATTGCTTGAACTAATGCTCGGACTAAATTTCAAAATCTAAGATTAAATTTTAATTTTGGGTTAATATCTATTTATCCTAAACATTGTATTTTGTCGTGATTTGAAAATACCTTTCCAAAACAAATCGACAATTTTGTCGTTAGATTAATAAAAATCATTTGATTTAGCATATTTTTGATTAAACGGTTTCACACGCATGTAATACTGTTATAACATTAACTTGATATCACCGATATAAAAAAATTCTCTTGCATATACAAGGATCAGATCAACTCCGTCTTCTCATTGTTCTATCGAAATTTAAATAAGAGACTAATTGCTATAAATAATGGGTTTATGAAATGGCATAAACCGAGCTTTAGGAGAAACTGGATAAGCAACTATCTATTTAATACTCAACCATGATAAAATCACGTTAATGTTTTTAAGTGGTCAGATGTTTAACAGTGTACTTTACAAACAGGTTACACCGCTAGATATTTGACCTACGATATGCCACCACTTCTGAAAACCGATTTTTTAACAATAATTAATCAGTTTTTCTTTAATAGACTCAGCATTTAAGGTACTCAAGAATAAACTGGTAATTTCCATATTCTAATTGCAATCCTCCCATTTCAGTTTAGTCGTTCGAGTAATATGTGTGTGTGGGCGAGAACGATCATAATTGGTTGTCTGCTTAATCAGTCATGTAGACAGTCTGACAGGTGTCAGATAAGTTATATATTCCCTTACCCTTATTATTGTGACTTACATATATCCTCTTATCATTGATTGTTCATTGTTGTGGATTGTGTCGGTTTTGGGTATGGAAATATAATACGTTCTGGTCAGACTGATTACGTGTTCTTGATCTGAGTTGTGTTGAAGTCCTGTAGAATAGACACTGTGAGGGATCTAGTGTAGATAAACGTTTAAGCGTTACAACATCAGACAAAGTAATACCTCAAGTTATAACATAACCCTTACATAAATGGTTGGTCTCAAAGTCGAGTACCTAAACCCGTTTATCAGTGGGTGAGCTATGTTAGTTATCGTTTATGAATAAAGTAAATGGTTTCGAGTTATTAGGTTAAAAGTGAAAATTTGTAGAAAGAAATTTTGTAAAACAAATCGATCCGAATCTATTTTCTAGGTTTGATCAACTAATTAGTAAGAGTATATTTTAGTATTTTTAATACCTGTTTTGAGATCACTTTCGCCAATTAATGTATCTTTATATAGTATCAATAATTAAAGAAATAATAAAGTGAACATGTACAGTCAACAGAAGAGAACTATTAGGAATTAACGGACTGTTATATAGTCAGTAAGTGATAATTTATATTTTATCCTTTCTGACTAAATTTCGTTGTGATCGATTTTCATACTTAAGTTTGCTTTGAAGTGTTTAAGTTTTATGTTAGTGGACTAACTAATTGCATAGTGATTTCCACTCCTGTGTAACTGACATTTTAACAATCGATTTTCTTCTTTTTTCTACTGTTCTGAAATAGCCTCCTATAATTTATAATGAAGAGATATTTGGTGATTGTTAAGTGTTAACCAATGCAATGCAACCATTTATTGATGAATTGCAAGTTTAAAAATGAAATTTAAGGTTAAATAACACTTGGATCCAATATCAATCAAATCACTTATGACTAAATTTTGTGAATGTTTATATTTTGCAAACAATAGTTTGCTAAATGTTTGTTGATAATGTAATATTCGTCAATTCATCTAGTGTTGTTTGCTTGTATCTTCCCATTGTTGTTTAGGACTTAATTTGATCAGTCTCTTATTGGCATATGTGCGTCCTGTACGGATTGCCTCGATATTGCCTTAAGTCACAAGCTTTATGAGCAAAGACGGATAGTGGCTAGCAGTGGAATCCAGGACGCGCGTTTCGTCCTATTTGGGACTCGTCAGCTGAATGTGCCTGCATCCACTCACTAGTTGAAATCACAAGTCAATTGAAGCTAGACCACCATGGAAAACCTGGAAGAACGGGACGGCCGTTTCATCCTAGTACGATACTCCTCAGCAGTGCGCATCCACGGTCCCCCTCTGATAATAATCATCTGCTCACTAGTGACTGACTTCAAGAGTCATTTCTTAGAGTTCTAGTGAGAAGCCGTGACCAGTAGAGTTTAACCGGGTCTGTTATGAGATATCAGCTCACTGAAAACAATGGTGAACGGTGGCGTAATTTTGTAGATTGGTTGATGATAGACATTAATACCGTTGGATGCCGTCTCAGTGGTCTAATGGTTAAGTGCTCGTGCGCGTGACTGATAGGTCCTGGGTTCGAATCTCGTGGGGGGTCGGGATCGTGGATGCTCACTGCTGAGGAGTCTCATACTAGAACGAAACGGCCGTCCAGTGCTTCCAGGTATTCTATGATGATCTAGATTCAAATGACTCATGATTTTAACTACTAGAATTACTATAATATCTACAAAATATCTGATAAAAATTAATATACTTACGGATTGATCACTAGATACGTAACTAACCTTACGTATTATAACTTGTGAATAAAATATTATTATGTAATTATTCAACTATGCTTTGAATCACTAATTTATTTACAGTAAAAGATCCATAATTTGTAGATTAATTAAAGTTTTCATGTTTATTAAAAGTACATAAAAGGCAATAATTAGGTAATGAACTGAAAAGAAAAAAAAACGGGGGCCAAAGATCGAAAAGATTTATAAATACTAAACTATATAATTAATTCCAATGTCGCATTGCTCTATGAGTTTTTTTTAATGCTGATAAATCACATCATGCGAATAACCTATGAATTTATTTTGTTACAATTTCATAGGGTATTTATTAACGAACTTAAAATAAAAGTAAAGAACTCCAATAATCATCAAATAAGTAACGAATGATTTTGTTTAAAGTTTTCATTTTATTGCTACCTTTCTTTGTTCACAGTGAATCAATTACAAGGTTAGTGTTATCATAATTTATATATCAAGTTTCTATTGTATTGTACAGGATTCAATTACATTCATCTCTTCATTTAAACTTATCTTATCCTGTATTGAATCATCAATGGGATTTATCAATTAAACAATTCACAAATAAATGGTTACAAAGACTGACATCATCAAAGAATGGAATATATACTGAATATTTAGAAAATTACCAAAATGTAAGTTCATAATTAACAATCTCCCGACCGTTGTTGCTACCTTGACGTGGTGTCGGGGTTGCCTATCGTGATGAACGACTGAGCTATACTGGCTGGAACAACCGTTCTTCAAGGTCCTACCATTCCAGACAGGTCGGTTGAAGAACGGTAAGACTAAAAGCAACAAACCCAAGGTCCGAAGGCGAAGTCGTACTCTTGACTGTACAGAGGTGTGACATCAGTAAGGTGTTTCCTTCAGACAACCAGCATAACAGCGATGCTGTCTTCCCACAAGGAGGGGTGGGGAAAGAAAAGGTTGACCCTAAAAATGTACACTTCGCCTTATCCCACGGATATCGGTCTCCGGAGGTAAGGTCTCAACAAGTACGGAGCTAACACAAAAACTACTCATAAAAAGGTCGTGCGTGACCGACCTCAAATAGTTGTCTCTTGAGCACTGCAGACACGCTCTCAGGTCACCACCTCTAATCTAATTTCCTTTTCAGGTACCTCTAGAGAAACCCTTTCACGGTGTGGGCAACCGGGAATCGATGACAGCCCTCATACCTCTAACAGCACTCAAGACGACTGATTGAATCAACAATCGACGTAGAATAACTTTCTTTCGGATCGCTTTTTTGTTTTTTTCGGCTTTTATCTTTCTGATATACGATTTATTACAATCAAATTTTTAGATTGAATATTATGGAGAGATTTCCATCGGGACACCACCTCAAACATTTTATGTGATATTCGATACAGGATCACCATACTTATGGATACCATCTAAAATGTGTGATTCCAGTGATTTAGCCTGTCAAGTACATCATAAATATGATAGTTCAAAATCTTCAACTTATAAACCCAATGGTGCATTATTTTATGTTCAATACGGTACTGGAATAGCATCAGGATTTTTAAGTTCCGATTGTGTTCATGTAAGTATGTATATATTATTTATTTTATTAAAAAAAAATCATCTAGATAGGTTCATTGAATATTGTAGATCAAACATTTGGTGAGGTAACTAATCAACCTGGTAATGTATTTATAAATTTTCATTTTGATGGAATTATGGGTATGGGGTTTCAACAAAGTTCATATCATTCTAATCCAACACCTATATTTATGAATATGATTGAACAGCATTTAGTAGATAAACCTAAATTTGCAGTTTATTTAAATCTGTAAGTTAATGATGATTTAAAAGAATTGTTTATTTGGTTTGAAATTTTAAGTGATTATTTTAACATTAGTTTATAATTGATTGATCGCTGGGTGGTGATCAATGTCATGCGTGTCTAGTCATTATTAGTGCAGTTCGAATGTTATCAACTACGTTGCAATGTGGCCATCAGTCTAAGTGACTCGACACTGCAGGCACTATTGTGAGATTAGATGGTAGTTGGAGGTAGTCGACAGGGTTTCATGTTCCGTTATCATTTGATCAATATCCTAAAGTATAATTTAGAATATACATTTTTATTCAACTAAATGATATATATATATATATATATATATATATATATATATATACTAATTTTTCGTAATAAATAACCATATTTTCCTTAGTGATGTATTTCGTAATTATAAATGTTTCATTTAATCAAACGGTATACTTTATATATATGAATGTACTAATATGTATAGATTGATTATAGGTATACTTCAATTTTTCTTCTAAGAACTTATTTTTCGATGTACCTTGAATGTTTGATTTTGTGTTTGTTAATTATAATTTCACCAATCAGTAATGAAGATAAGACAACTAGTGGAGAAATAATGTTTGGTGGAATTGATGACAGATATTATACTGGTGATTTAACTTATTCAGACGTTGTAAGTGAAGAATATTGGATGATTAACATAGATGGGTAAGTGATTTTTTAAAAAAATATTTCTACCTCATGAATATATCTTTTCAAATGAGCAAGCTCACTCGGAGAATTTCCGAATCTAGGATAAAAAATCCCAGCGATTTCATTAACAGCACATCAAGTACCCTTTCTACCGAATACAACAAAATCTAAGTGCAAAGTGTGGCTACCGGAGTGTTATGTGTTTTATGACTGCTACCGAAATATATATATATATATATATATATATATATATATATATATATATATATATATATATATATATATATATGCTTCCAAGTTTTCAATGGTGGTCTAACATCAATTGGTTCATGATCTCAATCAAAAACGTAATAATCTCCACGACCCTATACTGATATATTATGGTGATAAGAAAATCAGAATTGCGAACGTGACTCTCAGGTTTTTGATTAAAATTCAAATATCTTGCATGACGAGTAGGTGGGATTTATGTGTATGTTGCTCAAAAAGTTTAGAATGATAGCAGAAATTTATTTTTTACACCGTAAAGTAAAAAAATAATAGTATTATAAATATCAATGCTCAATTTGCTTTCTGTGGATTACATATGACAGGAGAATCAACACTTTTCCTAAATCCCTAGTTCTGAAACAAATCCTAACTTGATGGCACTAAAGTTTGTGAACGAACGGATTAGATAGCGCCTCTTTCGTTCTTGAGCAAAATTCATCCACACATAAGGCTACAGAGGACTTATGTAATTTGACTGATGTCGATTTGTGATAAAAACTGATCCTATACCCCTAATCTTTACCTTAAATCCTTAACCGAAATCAAGGACAATATTGGGGCTCATAAAAATCTATTTGGATCTTGGTAATTGTTTGCAAAAATTGATAATCTATGTCCACAAGAAGAAATTTATGTCTTTTTTCGATTTATGAGCACGGCAACCTGTAGAAAACCATAACTCATTAAATATGTCAAATTTATGTGCAGTTTGTAATATTGTCCTTCATTTACAAAGACCGTTTTCTGATTGGTTAAGAACTGACTGATAATTTGTGACAGTTATTTTAAGCTCGTCCCTATACTATGCTCTTGACAATAAGCCCTAGTCAATCCTAAAGAATATTTTTGTTCAAAACATTGGCTGAAAATTGAAACAACTAAGATGCTTTTTTGGGGTGACTATAATTCATGTAGCATGCACCAATCCAATCACAATTGACGGAGAAGCTTTGGAAGATGTAAAAACCTTTACATATTTGGGCAGTATCATCGATGAACACGGTGGATCTGATGCAGATGTGAAGGCAGGGATTGGCAAAGCAAGAGCAGCATATTTACAACTGAAGAATATCTGGAACTCAAAACAATTGGCAACCAACACCAAAGTCAGAATTTTCCATTCAAATGTCAAGACAGTTCTACTGTATGGGGCGGAAACCTGGAAAACTACGAAATCAATCGTCCAAAAGATACAGGTGTTTATTAACAGTTGTCTACGCAAAATACTTCAGATCCGCTGGCCGGACACTATAAGCAACAACTTACTGTGGGAGAGAACAAATCAGATCCCAGTGGAGGAAGAAATCAGGAAGAAGCGCTGGAAGTGGATAGGACACACATTGAGGAAAGCACCGAACTGCGTCACAAGACAAGCCCTCATATGGAATCCTCAAGGTCGAAGGAAGAGAGGAAGATCAAAGAATACATTACGCCGAGAAATGGAGATAGATATGAGAAAAATGAACAAGAATTGGATGGAACTAGGAAAGAAGGCCCAGGACAGAGTGGGTTGGAGAATGCTGGTCGGCGGCCTATGCTCCATTGGGAGTAACAGGCGTAAGTAAGTAAGTAAGTATAATTCATGTACGAGCCAATCAGGTTTACGATGGTGAGTCTTGGGTGTTGGAGCGAAATTCACTCATCCTTATGGCTAAATAGTATTTTGGAATTATAACTGATGTCAGATTGCAATGAAAACTCTTACTCTAATTTTTAACCGTTTTTAGACTCGACTAGGTTGCTGAATTTTCGAGAGGTCACTCTGGCGTCACTCAAAAGTCGTCCACAAACTATAGTCTTACCGCTTTTATTTTAGTAATGTACTGGAAAATAGGTCATATCTTAGAATGTTAAAAGAGTAAAGAATCAATAAGGGAAATAATTTTCGGTCAAAGACATTTTTTATGAGTAATCTGGTATGCCAAAAACAGTGATTAAAACTTAAAATGCATCTCCTAAGCATATTTAAATCTATTAATCATGGAAATCTTTTACTAATTGCTAAGATTTTTTCACTTCATCCTGAAAATGTTGAAAGTATATCAATCAACGATGAAATATTTTGTCCAAGGGGAAGTACCGCACTAATCGATACAGGTACAGCTTTAATATCAGGTCCAACTGAAAAAATTAATAACATAAATAAATATCTTGGAAGTATACATGTATCTGATAATGAATACATTGTGGATTGTAATGAAATTCACAAATTACCAATAATCGAAATAAAGATTAATGGCAAATCTATTCAATTGAAAGCAGATGATTATATTGTTGAGGTAAGAAAACAGTACTTGTAGTATTTGTGTGTAATTGTTTTAAAATTGATTAACATTTGTTATTCATATAACAGACATTTCAGATGTAACTCTTAAAGACCAGTTCAATTTAATAACAATCCACGTTTTGTATGGATTACTAAAATATTCAGTCTATTGTTTATAATAATCACAAATTTTTTATTAATTACTTCAATATGTAGTAGTTACTTTACTTGTCAGGTCTTATAGCTGATCGGGTAATTAAGTAGTGTATTGCATTTATAACATGTAAGGTAGTTATTTTTCCACTTAGAAAACTAGTGGTAGAACACAAGATTCAACAGCAATTCTAAGTTTTCGTCAGTAATTTCATTTGTGGGACATGATGCATATGACCTTAATTTTATTCAACATGAACATACATTTAAACAATCCCATATTGACGAGAAGAAAGTTAATTACAGGTACCCTGAAAAAAACCATTTTGAATTTTATTGTAAATAATTTGGATAATCAAACAATTAGTTCTGTATTCTACCTCTTCTAAATGATAGTATATTTACGTTAGGCATGCATTCCATAATAATCACATTAATATCATCAAATCTCTTGTATTATATTGATGTTTTATATTTTTCATTTGTTTGACAAAGTATTGATCTTAAGTTTCGAGCACTCGGTAAACTTTTCTTAGGCTTAAATGTATGTCATTAGAGAATAGACTATATAGCCATATGATTAGATATTAAGTTGGCGAAACACTCAATAAAAATGACTTGAGACCACTAATGCCAAAGTCCTAGTGTAAAGCAATTTTATTCAGTAAGTTGATTTATAGATCATGATACGACTTTAATATGTTTGGTTCCTGTAATCGTTTATGGTTAACAAGTAATCTAGCTTAGGAAAAATAACATCAAAACTATCTTACCGAGTTAGAAATCCTTATTCTATGGGTTCATTGAAGCTTTTGAGTCAGGAGAAATTTTACTGTATGGTCACCAATCACTGAACAACATTCAATACTATGTTGAGCAATTCTCTATCAACGACTTTTATTTATTAATTTACCACTATAACTACTAAGCTAAGTAAGACGTAATTACTAAACACTAGTTAGTCGTAAAAATGTAATGGATTTCCAATTTATACTGGTTGGCACCCACTGTTTAAGGGTCTCTGCAAACCTCAATGAAACAGATACTCAACTGGAGATTCTGATCCAAGTTACCAACAACTGTAGTCAGAAAAGTTACCACTAGATTATACACGTTTTCTTTATTCTTTGAATAATCTCTATTAATAAAATTGTAATCTCTACAATCTCCAAGTATGTTTATTAATTTACCACTATAACTACTAAGCTAAGTAAGACGTAATTACTAAACACTAGTTAGTCGTAAAAATGTAATGGATTTCCAATTTATACTGGTTGGCACCCACTGTTTAAGGGTCTCTGCAAACCTCAATGAAACAGATACTCAACTGGAGATTCTGATCCAAGTTACCAACAACTGTAGTCAGAAAAGTTACCACTAGATTATACACGTTTTCTTTATTCTTTGAATAATCTCTATTAATAAAATTGTAATCTCTACAATCTCCAAGTATGTTTATCCATTTAAACATTTATATTTGACGTATCTTATAAAAAAATTACTCCTGTCTTTGCTTTACATCATATGTTGCTCACTAAGTCATTTGACATCGGTACTACTGATTGAAAGTTATGCCTGTTTATTTGTATGTTTTCTGTGAATCTTCCAGGTTCTATTCCGTTCACAAATACAGGTCTTAAGTTGAGAAAGTTCATTGCGATAAACTCTATTTACACAGACAAGGCAAATATCACGAATTTACAATTTCATACTTGCTGCCATCTGCCAATGTTAGCACTCGAAAATTTCTTACTCTTGTAGTTCATCTGTGCATTGTATGACAGCGCATACCAATAGTGGTTCATTGGGAAGTTTCATCGAGTTTTTCGTTTTTGGTTTGCGAAAATTATACTTTTTACATAAACGATACTCACTCAGTCGATTGTCTTTGAAGTTTTTTCTAATTTAGAAGATCCTCTGAGTGAAAACTCAATTTGAAATGGAATCATTCAATCACCAGATACTAATTAATTCATAAATAATGAATGTCAGCTTAACACAAAGAGTGCATAACATCCACTAAATTATTTGTAGCTTATGTTATATGGGTTGAGGTATTTACTTTACAGAAGTTTAGAACAATTTTCAGTTGGCTAGCTAACATTTCAGCAGCGATGAAACTTTAAAAATTGATCAAAAAGTTCTTATAAATGGTAAACGTTTTAAGCTACTTAACTGTCTGATGTGGACTACATAATTGGTAAATAGAAATTACTATAAGATCAATCATGAAAATCAATCCACATAAATGTTTTGAGTACAAATAACAGTATTTCATTATTATATCTTGTTATTACTAGAAAGTTTCAAACGGTTCACGAATTTGCAGGACTTGCTTCATTGGTACTGACTTCCCAAGTGGCCCGTTATGGATATTTGGGGATGTATTTTTAAGAAAAGTTTATACAGTATTTGATGTTGGTCAACGGCGAGTAGGAATTGCTGATGTTGCAGATGTTAAATCCTCATGAACAAAAATAATATTTGCGGGATAGTCAATAATTCTCTTTCCAGTTTATTTTGTATTTCTGAAGTAATATCGCTAGTTAAAATATATAAAACGATAAGAAAACATCTTTTTGATTTTAAGTGATTTTGCGCTTACCATTTCTTTTTTACTTATACTGCATTGTTGTTCGCTTTTTCGTTTTCTCAGTTGTATAAATAAGCAAAAAAACCATATTGAAAACTTTCTGTTTACTAGTAAGCGGTAGCAGTTAAGACTACTGAAATGAACCGTTACAAATGTTTACTAGTTTACATCAAACTCATCAGTCCTAGATAACTGTATTTTATGTTGAACAGTCATATGGTGAAATATCTAGTGTTGTAGTCGTTAAAATAGTAAATTACACAAAATATTATTGATAGTACAATAATACATTGTCTCATTCACGATAATCAACAAAATGGTATCCCGTGTTGTATATTAAAATAGGTACTTTGGTAGAAATATTAAGTTGTGTCTCCTGAAATTTATAACGAATGTGCCAGATATAAAAATGTGATAAAAACGATTAGGTATGACGTTCTGTGTACAGGGAACTATCAGTGTAATTAGACACTAACTGAAATCAGATCTTAGGGTCTGTTAGGATATATACTTAGTTATATATGCGATTAAGAATTAAGACTTGCCTACGCCTGTTACCCCTCGTGAAGGAGTATAGGCCAGTCACCGGCATTCTCCATCCACCTCTATCCTGGACAATCCTTTCCAGTTCTTTCAAGTTGCTACTCATCCTTTTCATGTCTGCTTTCAATTTCCGACGTAGTGTGGTCCACAGCCTTCCTCTTTTACGTTTCTCTTCAGCATTCCAAGTTAGCTTGACATTGGTTGACAGTTGTTTTGAGTTCTTCAATTGCAGGAATTCTTGTATTGTAAGAATTAAGGACATATGACATAACACGAGGAATAGTAATGCACGGAGCTAATCAGTTCGTACCCTAAAAGTCACAGCTGAGGCAGAACTGAAGACAGAACAAAACGAAGTCATATGAATATACAAAGTATTGAAATTGGGATGAGACGCATAACAAAATATGAAGTAGTCATCACTATCACAATAAAGCTTCAGAAAGATCTGTATTTTTGCAGAGAGATGAAACGGAAGCTTAATGACTTAAGTATCCGAAGTTAAGTGATCAGCTTCAGAATCCGAATAAATTATGAATACTTCTTCCCAAATATCGGAGTATCGTTCCTAGCTTAAAAACATGAATCTGATTACCGTTTTATACTAATGTTTAGACCTAGATAGCAGCTGGTTTATCAGTGTATCTGGTTTGGTCTTTGTTCAGTGTTAAATGGTTATAGCTTAAATTTGGGGTTTATCACAACAGTTCTTCATGCCAGAGTATGCAGTGCAAAAGTTCTAACACATTATTCTTGTTGATCAAGGTACTTTACCGCCAGAAAAGTAGGTAGAGGTCATTACGGAAAACACGGAACTAAATATGATTAAAAAATATCTAGAGTTTGGAAAACTTACAGAGAAATGACGGCCATTTGTCACTAACTTCCCGTTTTTCACACAATGTTCAACTAATCGACCATGTAGGCATTCGAAAAGAGTTAACTTGATGAAGTTATAAAGCTGCTCCACATAAAATTGAAAATACTCAGCTAAAGTAATTCTGACATACATGATAGGATTTTATTCCTCCTCAAACTGTGCTATAGTAACAGAATAATATAGCTACCATTTTCGGATGGGTCAGGTTAGACAACAATCTCACCGTAAGATTATATAAGTTGAATAGTCACATCGTTCCCGTTTGACTTCAGCAGATTGACATCCATAATGCACAAAATAGAAGAAATGCGCTGAAAATCCTGTCAAATTGTTTCATTTGACAGTATTTGTAACGGAAAGAACATGCTGAAAATATGTGGTGTTTGTATGAACTAATTATTTCTTTGTACTTGATAACTTGTGGTGTTTGAATGAACTAATGATTCATTTGTACTCGTTGAATGTTTGATTTCGAATTCCAAGTACAGTACATTCGTTCGTTTTTATCCAGTACTTCTTGATCCAATTGCTTTATTTCTGGGATTCTCAGTTTGTACTATAATTCAAATACTTCTAATGATCTCACTGGCGTCGCGATTGAGCCTGTGATGGAACATGTAGGTATCATTACCAAGATTTGATTTGATAATTTCAAATAAATTGAGCATTGGGTTGATTGTTATAAATAAATAATATATTTGTAATATCCCAATGAGTAGAAAATTAGATTTTCTGACGTTTCGTGACTTAGTGTAAGTCACTTCTTCAGAGAATAAATAACCAAATTAAAATTAATCCGTTGTACTATTTAAACTTGGATTAATTTTAGTTTGGTTATTTATTCTCTGAAGAAGTGACTTACACTAAGTCACGAAACGTCAGAAAATCTAATTTTCTACTCATTGGGATATTACAAATATATTATTTATTTATCTGTGATGGAACAGTTAGATATACATTCATATTTTGACGCTTTTGAGGATTACTTGGAAAGGTTCGAAATCTGGGCTATGACCAAGTAAGATGTTGCGGATGTTATCTCACATTCATCGGAAAAGAAGCTTACTGCTTACTAAAAGTTCTGTGATTACCAGAAAAGCCTATTTCTCTTCCTTATGCGACTCTCAAGGAACTACTGCTAGACTATGTTAAGTATACAAGTCTCGAATGCGTTAAAGGAGGAACATCTCGTAAAATGATTCGTCACGACATCAAAAATTCCACTACATTACTATGTTATCCCAATTTAGTGCATACTCAAGGTAATGCAGATAATTCACTGAGGAGTTTCGATGCAGTTCACAAAGATGGGCATATGTTTGGTCAATGTTTGTCCTGTGGCACGTTTCACTCATTTAATTTATGTGTATTTCGCAATCCTAGATGCTTTAAACGTGGTGAGATTGGATACATTTAGTCAGTCTGTCATACTACGGTTCATTCCTCTACAGCTAATGCTCAAATTTGTGATTGTGATCCTATAAGGTGGGGTGTTTCTAGCAATTATTTATATTTATACGCAACTTTAGAAGGCGGCATAGTTTCACATCGCGGAACAGAGTTAAATAAAACTAAGAATCCTTGTGTAACAACAGTTTCTAATCAATCAACTTATCAGATTTCTCATTTTATTGTACCAGATAGAGTTTTTCCCAATAGTTCTGAAGATGCCACAGGTATTCGGAGTTTGACAACGCCTTAATTAGTAATATCTCCTAATATGAAGCGTACCCACCCACTGAAATCATAAGACAGAAGCGAGGAGATCGAAGATATATTTGATAAGCTATCAATATATTGAGGATTGTCTGATCTAATCTGGCTAGCGATTGAAGGAGATGTTGAGCACGGCGTTCCCACTCGTGATCTGGTGCGGATGCATGACCGAGCTCCTTCAGCTAGGTGAGTCAATTTACTTTGGGGATTTATTTACCGCTACAGATCACTCCCCCCCTAGTGGGGTAGTGATGACCCTAAGACGTGGCCAGCCAGAAGTTTAAACCCGACGATTTTTTCGTTGGTAAACACTCTTCTGATAGCTTGCTAGGTTTAGCAGCGTCTGGTCGTCTTTCTTTACTATAAGGGACCATGATGTTCAATATAGTAAAAAAAGAAAAAGTACAGTGAAAATTTCGGTTTCTCGCAAACTTCATCGTTATTTTCCAGTCGTTCTGGAAAAGAAAAAAGTATGTAAATGCATGTCGAAATACACTCGTACGCGCGTAAAATCACAATGCGGGCGAAAAATGGAAAATAAACTCATGCTCACGTAATAGCGTAAAAAATAATTTTTACAATGTGGTTTTTTTGTTTTGTTATTTTTGAAATAAAAAATTAAAATATATAAGCATAGTAAATTTTGTTTTTTTTTGAAAAAATCATGTATAGTGCAATGCAAAATCGAGACGATATAAAATGTAAACTTGTATCTTACGTGCAGTTATCGTTCAAATTTTCTGGAAATCTTACTCTTCTTCCAGAACGCGTTGTTTTAAGTTCATTTTCTAATACCGCTGTCGGTTGAGGTATTACAAATGTGGGAGTCGTGTCGTGAGAGTGTTCTGAAGGAAAATCGATGTGAATAGGATTTCCTTCTAAATACGCTAATTGAAGCGATAGACGCTGATGCTATCGGTGGTTCCGCTCTTATGGATTATATAGTACATAGGTTCGCGTTCAACAACTTTGAAGGGTCCTTTGTATGCTGATTCGAAAGGTCGTCGATGCGAGTCTCAACGTATGAAGACGTGTGTACTATATCGTAAGTCAGGTTGAACGGAAACATCAGTTGATTGCGGTCGAGTGGAAACAGGTTTAACTGAACGAATTGCGTTTGTAAGCCTGCTCGTGTAGGAGGTTAGATCCATTTTCATTGAAGAGGATGAAGGATCCACGAACTCTCCTGGAAGTCGAAGGGTCGTACCATAAACGAGTTGAGACGCAGTGTATCCAATGTCAGCTTTCACTGCATTGCGAATACCTAGTAAGACGAGTGGAAGAGCGTCAGTCCACCGAGAAATGTTTGCGGCTGATAGTGACACTTTTAGTTGTCGGTGAAAACGTTCTACTAAACTGTTTGTTTGTGGGTGATAGGCCGTCGTTCGGGAGCGAGTGATTCCCAATTTTTCGGTCAGACAACGGAAACGTTCAGATTCGAACTGGCGTCCACGATCTGTAGTGATTGTTGTTGGGCAGCCGAAGTTTGCTACCCATCGTTCGACGAAGGCGCGAGCTACTGTTTCAGCAGTAATGTCCTAGATAGGTACTGCTTCTGGCCATCGAGTAAAACGGTCTGCGCATGTTAGAAGATAAGAATATCCATTTGAGTCTTATTTTTTATTTTATTTTAACACATAAGTATAGGTACAGGGTGGCACCAAATACATATGCGCCACACAAATCTCAATTGATTTGTGTGAGGGCTGTGATACTGCCCGGGTGCCCAAACCGAAGCAGGTGGTTTTCTTAGGGGGCCACACCCCGAGCCTTTGATCTGAACGTCTGACCCACAAGGCAGTGGAGCATCGTGAGGAGATGCAGTCCCATGGTAGCCGGT